ACCCCACCCCGCCCACCCCCCTGCGCGAACGCGTCAAATGCGTTCATGTGCGTTCAATGAACGCGCGTTCACTACGTTCATACCTTGAACGCGAAACCCGCGTTCAATGAACGCGCGGTAACACATAGGCCCAGGGCACTGTCCAGAGGCCCGCGACGATATAAGCTGCGGGAGCAGTTGGAATGTGACCCTCCTACCCTTCAGTCTTCAAAGTTCTCACTTGAATATTTTGCTACTATTACAGAGAATTTCACCGGGTCCGATCCACTTAGATTATACTAAGGCTTGCAACAGGTCCGCACCGAAGACGCAACGGTCAATCGATTGCATGGGAGTTACCGCTTCGAGGCCCAAGGTTGTGGGGATTATGCCTAAGCGTGGGGGCACGGTGACGCTCAGATGAGGCGCCTACAAGGTTGGTACCGGTGTCTGCATCAACCGGTTTTGGCTCAATTTCTGCACCGGTGGGCAGTAAACGTGCAAATCCGGTCTCGGACCTGGCTTATGCAGTCCCAATCGTGGGACTGCTGATTCCTCCTTCGGGACACCCGTTAAAATTGGAACGATACAGTCCCCGCCCAAGGACGATCCACATAAATCGAGAGAAGTTCCTTTTTCCTATTGTTGTTTGTTGGCTTTGTTTTTTTTTGGCATCTCGAATACATGTTCCACGGGACGGTGCCGAACGCTGCCTCGATCAAGGAAAAGGCGACGATTGTAAAAGGAGGGCCAAATCGGGACGACACGTCGCGTAGGTGCGTTTGGAGGTGGAGATGGCAGAAAACAAGAGCGGAGGAGGAGAAATTGCATAGTTCGTTCGATTCCTAGCTGAATCGAATGAACCAAGAGTTGTGATAGGGGTTTTAGACCGTTGCGAGTTGCATCCTGAAGTCAGGTTGGGGAGAAAATTGGTGTAAAGGGGGTAGGAAGAAGAAACGATGCGCGGAGTAGGCGAAGAGAGGGAGGAACAAAAACGGGGAAAGAAGGTCGTTCATCCGTCTCTCTACGACAAATAAACCGCGCGCTGATTGCGCACGGGCCCGGCGCTCGTGTTTTTTAGCGCCGCTCAAAAGCGTGCTCGATCACGCCTTGAGAGCCTCGAGCGCGTTCGCGGGCGACTGTGTGTCCGAAATTGGATTCAACACGGGTTTCGCGTTGAAAAATTGAACGCGCGTTGAATTCGTGTTCAATCCCCGTTCAAACGCGCGTTGGACGCGGATGAACGGGGTCCGCGAACCCCATTTTCACGCGTTTGGGGGGGGGGTAGGGGTTTTGTGAAGGTGTGGGGTGGTAGTGTCCGTTGTCGGGTACCGCCCCACGCACTCTTTTTTTTTTTTTTTTTTTACCAAAAAACAACAACAAAACATGCACGAACCCCTTTGCGTCCTGCAGGGCGTTCGCGAGGTGCCTGCCTTTGGCGGCCTGCTGGGGGGTGGCGCAGGGAAAACGGTCCGAACGGGTACAAAAACGGCCGTTGCGTTCGGCTGCAGCTCATTTTCCGCGCGAGCCATAACGCTCCAACGCGACAAACGCTGTCAAACGGGTTTCCCCTGCGTCGAACACAGCGGACGAGAGAGAGAGAGAGAGAGAGAGAGAGAGAGAGAGAGAGAGAGAGAGAGAGAGAGAGAGAG